ACTGTTTTTCTTCTTCAGAGGTCTGTCAGGACTTCACGTAAGTTTCCCGTCCGCTGTTCATCTCCAAAGCGTGTGCAGTATAATAAGTTCACCCACTTTTTGCTCTTATTTTCGTTTAACTCTCCTTGTCCAAACTGTTCATCTATTGATTCTTCATGTATACTGTTTGCAGGAACTAGGGATTCATCCCATATGATCTAGGAGACGGTCTACAGAGAACCTTCGCTCTCGAAGTTGAAGAATACCACTATCGGTTTTTAAAATAGCAGCAGACACTGCCGTTTTTTGAATAGCGTTTGAAAAGAAAGAGATAATGACATCCAGTTTCCACCATTTGATAGTCAAGATCGGGGTCTGCTTTTCTACTCTGTTTTATCTTCGCAACACCATGGAGTTTAACAAAGGTTTGCAAAATCAATGGAAAATACTTTACTTGTGAAAAGGATTTCTAGAGACCGTTCTATGTGAAAGAACGATTTTTACTAGTTTTAAGCACAGAATCAGAATGCACAGATAAAACTGTGAGTTTACATTGATGTTCTAGAGTAATATGGATCCATTTTGAGTGAATTATAAATTTTTTAATTTTCCAGTGAAAATACCCAAAACTAGGTTATTTTACTTTATATAGGTTATTACTAGATGTTTAAATTTTCTGTCAGAACAAACATTGCCATGAGATTCATTGTGGTCGAAAACCTATTTTTTCATTTATTCTCGAAATTACAACATCTATAGGAACATCAATGCTGAGGCCTACAGAAATCCGATATCACGCCGAAACCATAAAACATTAAAACTTATCTTAGTTCACATTTTGAACAAAGACACTTTGGACTATTCTACTAAACGAAAACATTTATATGATGAAAACCAATAGTAGTATTGTTCAACTTTTTCTAAGGAGTATTTAATTTTTCTCTACAGCAGTCCTCTACTGAATCTGCGTAAGAACATATTTCAACAAGTGGTTTGGCTATCTAATTACGTATATTTTGTCTTTTTTCCTTCAAAATGGATTAAGAATCGATTCATATGAAAAGTTTTATATATCTCTCTTGCAGGATAAATTTAATCGTGTGGTTATTAAAAACGAAAACTGGTGATATTATATTGAGAGTAAGAATTCAATACAGGAAAAGGAAACAAATAAAAGGTAAAAATCTATAAATTATTTCTTCATTTATTTGTCGCTTTTTGTCGAAAACATTAAAATCTTCTCGTTTCATAAAATCTTTGATAAATAAAGAAATGAATACTCTTTATTACAAACATGAGACAAATTTTTTTCGTCGGCGTCTATGACAATTTGTGTGTCATCATTGTCCAATAACGTGTTAATCTCTCAAGTGAAATATTAGTTCTTAATTGTGAAGGCTTTTAGTTTGTGTGGACAAAATAAGAAATAATATGTTTTTGATTTTGTTTGACAAAGTTTAAAAATACTTATACAAAATATTCCGATTCATTTCTACATCATATCATGTGACTAAGGAAAGTATCTCAACATATATCGAACATCATAATGTTTGTACATCAGTAATGAATTTATTAACTTAATCATTTATTAATATTTGAACATTAATAACATTAATAACATTAATATTTATTTATTTCGGTGAAGTATCGGAAATTCGAAACTTCAGCAGGTTTTTATTTTTGCATTTTTTATATATGATTGCATAGAACGCGTCGAGCTGATTTCCGAAAAATATGTGTTTTAATGTTTGAAGAAATTATTTTTATGTCGAAAAGTTGAAAATATTTGAAGGATCTAAATTTTCCAAAAACACCGCAATTTCAAAAACATTCAAATTTTTTCGTGCTTCAAACATTATGGCAGTATTTTTGTTTCAGATTAAGTATTAAAAACTGAGTATATATCGAGGTTGAAGTCAAAGCTTAATATACGATTAATTTTGAATACATGAAATTAAACAATCACTAATGAACTACTGTAAGTTAGACGGAGAACGAGACTGGTTTATACACTTAGAAGTATTCCAAATTCACTAGAGTATTTTACTGTTTGAAAAACGTTTAATTAGACTTTTTTCTTTTCTTAATCTAATCGATGATTTTCTTATTAAAAAAAATATTTTTCATAATCAAGATCTGTTTACGCACTTTTTCTTAAAATTCGTTATGGGATCGAAAGTATGTTATTTTCATGATCTTTAAATTCATATCCTTCTCACACCCTGATGATGTTCACATTTGTTGTTGTTGTGTGCAAAATAGAAATCCAAATTTGTTTTAGAATTAACGTAAGAGAGACGCGTAGTAAGTGGTGTCATACACTCATTTATTGATATTCTATATCTCTTTAAGGCCTTCTTTTCAATAAAACTCGTTGAAGAAGTTAATGAATCTAGATTACTATATTGAGAGGAAAAACAGAATTATATTAATGTATTTACATGTCTTGAAAAGGAGGGAAGAAGAGAATAGGAAAAAATCGTAAAAAGAAATCCAATCCGACATAGAATCGAAATTCTAAAGACAAGAACAGGGAAACGAAAATAAAGGGATGAAACACTCGTAACGCTGGTTATTTAATAGAAAATGTGAGAGAGAATGATTTCAGTTGTATAAAAGTGAGAAGATATTGTCATTATTTATGTTATTTGACAAAATTTTTGAAAAATATTCATTCATAGTTTGATTAACAACGGATTTAATCAATAAGCAAGCTAACAGTAATGCTTTTTGTTTTTACAAAAGTGTGAGAATCATCTATATATACACTCTTTATTCAACATTGTTTAGGTAGGAAGAGTGCTATGCAGTACCCTCTAAAAAAAGAAAGGTTTATGTACGAAATCTAAAAGAGTATCGAGAAGTGCAACCATTTCTAACCCTTTTAGGATTCGTATAAGAAAAGATACGGTATGAAACCGTTTTAAGTGTATTGAAACGATTGATCAGTGAGTGCATGTGCTTATTTCGTTATGTTTTTTCCTCATCATTTTCTCGCGAAAAATCAAAAATTACAGAAGTTTCAGATATTTTTGTCGGCTCAGTTATCGCCGCCCTACGCTGTGAAAGCCCGCCTAAGCTGCTAAAATGGTCCGCTAGCTCAGAAGAAACTTTTTTTAGAAAACAAACTGATAGAATTTATGCATTTAAACGGTTTCGTATCACATCTTTTCTTCCACGAATCCTAAAAGGATTTAGAAATGGGTGCACTTCTCTATATCCTTTTAGATTTCGTACACAAACCGGTTTTCTTTTTAAAAAAAGCTTAATTGAGATTCTAAACTTGGACGACTAAAAGGAAAAACTCTAAGATAGATATGGTTGTTCTCTTGCATTGAAAAACAATTCGATATTTTTAGTTTATTATTTTATTTATTTTCTTTTACTTATATTGCATTTGGTCGCGCAATAAAAGATCTAATGATTCATTGAAACAGTGAGTTTTGTAGATTAGTTGTCGAGTCATAACTCTATTTTATAATTTTATATAAAACCACTTCTTTTTTTTCAAATGATTTTTTTAGCACAGATCTCCGTAAGTTTATAGAGCACAGGTGTAAGGTTGTTATATCACTATAAAAAAAACAGTAATATATATGACTATGCATACAACATTCTCTTTACTTCACCTAGTGTGAACTATATATTCCAAGTGCATTTTTCATTTCTGCAATCGATTAATCAAGATGTCAGGTTTTCTTCTCTTTAAGGCGTTTTTAATGCACTTATTATAATAGTTGTTTTTTCAAATAACAATTGTTGTACGTATTAGTAAATATACTCCACCCAACTTTATTATTCACTTATGACCATTAAAAACAAAAAGAAGAGATCATCGTGAACTAATCTACAGGATAGAACGTAAAGATTAGCATATTGATTTAGGCCGTTATTTGGTGATGCGTGTTTAGAAATTTCTGTGAACTTTTTAGTTTCATCTATACAATACGTTTGTTCTCATCATTATCATAATGGAGCATTTTGTTTCGCCTATCAAGTTTTCTTATTTTAAAGAAGTTTATATCAAAAATTGTCAAGAATTTTTCGTAAAATCGTTCATATTTTTGCCACAGACTCGAACATCATCGACAATTTCTTATAAAATTACTGTTGTTTTTATAACATTTTTAGAAAAGCTGAATAATTTCTTTTATAAATAACAATAATTTAAATCTTGAATTTAAATTTCTTGTGAATTTTATCAATTTTTATTTTATAGATCTTAATTTTCTAATTTACTGAATATTGTTCAGCTTTTTTAAAAAGTTATAAACTTAAAATCAATAGAGATTAGTTATCATTTAATTATCTTTGGGTTGTGTACGAAAACATTTTTACAAAAAATTCTCTACAACTCACTATATGAAGATATTATGAGTCTATTTTATATCTCTTTCACATTTTATGAAACAGGAAGAACATATGTGTTATTTCTCTCTGCTTTTTATTTTGTTCAAAAATATACAACTACATTTCTTAGATAAGAACATCATCAAAACACTACGTCTAGAGTGTTAGTAAGCTCTGGTCTGATTAGCATTCCACTAAACAAGATATTAGTAATTCGTTATTTTCAACGGAGAAAATGATTTATTTATTGTTCGCATTTATTAGTAATGCAATGAAATAATAAGTTTTTTTATTTGTTCTAATTTTGTTAATATACGTAGGAAATATAGTAAGTGAACTGTAAATTTGTTAAAGTATATTTTTATAAGTTTTGCATATTTAAGTTAAACAAACGCAATAAGATTTTTATATCAATTTTTTTTATATTTCAGATTAAATATGTGGCATCCACAACAATTAAGATATCGGAGAATAACTTGGTACAAGCTTAATTCCATTGTTACATGCACAGTAAAAATTTTATTCATCCAGTTGTCATTGTTCATTCTCGCCACCTCCGGTAAGTTGAATATTCTGTTTCTTTGTTTTTGTGAGTTAATTATTGACGCCTGAAGCTGTATCAGAATAAGTCGAACGTCTGTCAATGTTTATTGTTTTTTCTTTCAGTCATCATGCATGTTACTGGTACCATTCATGACACACCAGTCGTCACAAAAACTTGGTCAAATGGTGCTCATAGACTCTATTCCGATCCTCAAGAATTAATATCATCAAATTTTATTTCGGATGCAAATCCTCTATCTGAGGGTTTCATATTAATGAACAATCAAAAAAAAACATCAACAACAAATAAAATATATACATCGTCTTCTAATAAATCTAATAATACGAAGACATTGAATTCGAAAGCAACAGCCTTAGTTGCATACATAAAACCGTCTATGAACGCAAAAATGACTTTATCGAAAACTCTATTTAATGCTAGTACAACGACGTGTAGACCCGATCCTTTAACATTAAAATCAACTCTATCGACGCTAACTTATCAAAAGACGACAATGTTGACAGATCAATTGAAAAACGAATACCAATTACCAACGGTTACTGTAACTGCTCGTCGTATCATTGGAGAAATTACAGTGCAATCTGCTTATGATAACACCAGTTATACGCAAGATAAAAAAACTTTACGCACTAATGAAACAGAGCAATTGGATGTAATGGCTGAAGCTTTTCGAGTAGCTGATCCTGAACTAATGCCTTTCGATTCACCCGAGGACAAAATAGCTGATGGAAGTGGAGATTACAGTAAGCACGCTTTCTACAGTATAATGACCGTGTGTTCTGTTTTTTACCGTTAGAGTTAGATCATTTAATAATGAATACAAATGAATACAAATTCACTGTGAAAAAGAAATGCTAATTTTAAAAAAATGCATCCGTGATGCATTTAAAATAGTCTTCTTTTTCTTTGCTGGAAAAAGTTCCATGTAAAATACGCGCTAGATTGTTTTCAAAATGCTGTTGAATTCCTGTTTTATACATCTGCGGTGACTCAGTATATGCATCTCGAGTGCATACTTCGTTATAAATCGGGTGCATCTTTACTGCATAAACTAAGGTACATTCGTGAATAGTTGACGTTACATTTGTCCGGTTTTTACATACACACTATAGTGTTGTATTTTCTAGACAACAATAGTGCCCTGGTTATTTACAATAAATCTCTTATATAAATAAACAAGGAAATCAGTGGTATGCTTTCTTTCACAGCCGTTTGGAGCATACTACATAAGACTGTGATATCTAGCTCAAACTATTGTTTCTTTCAAAAAAATAAATGATAAAATGCATTCAAAAATAGACTATTTCAACAATGTAAATATACTACTTTTCCTCTCTCTTGACAAGCTTTTTAGTTGCACAGCACGAAATCTAAGTGTCTGTCTAGTACCTCGGTGTACTTTTGATCACTTAAGTATAATTACACACCTAACTGATGAGTCAGAGGTAACTATACGTCTTAACGATAGCAAGTGCCTTGTAACTAATTGTGTGTTAAAGGTGTCTAATTGAGTCATAACAGACAAAAAATGCAACAACTAAGGGGTAACTTCAAAACACATACAGACGGATAACTGGCATCTAGCATAACAAAACTAATTAAAAATGCACCTTCAATAATTACCTTATCCACTGTAGCTGAATGTTTTCCTCATGACGCCAATGTTATTTCATTTAATCAAATTAATAACTTTCTCTTATTTTAGCCACAGAATATACAACGGGTACGTTACTTATTTCTGTACACCTATGATCAACAACTGACTCTAAGACCCTTCTAAAATGAAAAAACTATTTTAATTCAGATGAAACTTCACCACAATCTACTTCAACGTCAACAACATCTACTTCAACGTCAGCTCCACCAGGTACGATGATCTTCATTGTGGGTGTTAGGGACTCAAAGTGCGGTACTGATCACAGTGCTACATCAGAAACAGAAATAAGTAGACTACATCCATGAGATAGCAATAGTACTACCGGCATGAGCTTATTTACAAAGTCAGATACATCGAGGTCTACTAACGCACTCATTAAGTTAGCCGCTGGGTCTGAGTGATGATGTTGGTCGGCACGTACTCCAAGGTACCGTGTTCGAGTCTCGGCGTCACCTAGTCATAGAATAATCTTGGACAAGTTACTAACGGCTATTGTCTCGGACGCCTTACTAAAGCATTTTTTATTTGATGTATTAGTAGTCTTATTAGAGCGTGTATGAAAAGAGGTAGCACCCATGCATTGGCAGGCGTTTTCGACAGGAGCGATGTTAAACGTTGGTCTACTTCGTTATTTCGTTTAATCAAATTAATAACTTTCTCTTATTTTAGCCACAGAATATACAACGGGTACGTTACTTATGTCTGTACACCTATGATCAACAACTGACTCTAAGACCCTTCTAAAATGAAAAAACTATTTTAATTCAGATGAAACTTCACCACAATCTACTTCAACGTCTACGTCAACAACATCTACTTCAACGTCAACAACATCTACCTCAACGTCAACAACGTCTATTTCAACGTCAGCTCCACCAGGTACGATGATCTTCATTGTGGGTGTTAGGGACTCAAAGTGCGGTACTGATCACAGTGCTACATCAGAAACAGAAATAAGTAGACTACATCCATGAGATAGCAATAGTACTACCGGCATGAGCTTATTTACAAAGTCAGATACATCGAGGTCTACTAACGCACTCATTAAGTTAGCCGCTGGGTCTGAGTGATGATGTTGGTCGGCACGTACTCCAAGGTATCGTGTTCGAGCCTCGGCGTCACCTAGTCATAGAATAATCTTGGACAAGTTACTAACGGCTATTGTCTCGGATCAGCCGTCCGATAGAATGTTCACTACGTTGCGGCGTACACCGGCACTTCTGTGCTAATATGGGGTTAGTGAGCGTGTATCGGGCTAAAAGAACTCTGTGCCAGATTGGCCTTCGGTCTACAGCTACAGCTTGCTTGATCACTAGTAGAAGAACGGTTGACCGTCTGTGAAGATCGTCAGCTGTAGGGAAGATATCGCGCTTATGGAAACTGCTTCGGCATCACCCTATTCCGCAAGTTAGCCGCAAGGCGGGGTGTTTTTCCTTCTTTCCACTCATTAAGTTGTCATCTAGTAGTACAAGTCAATGGGTGAAACAAGATAATTTCGTTTTTTTTATGCTTTCGTAGGTCAGATCACCTCTAAAGTCAGTTTTCAAAATACAATCATTACTTCAATTATTGAATCTTCTGATGATTCAACTCTAATTCCTTTTACACCGTGAGCACAGCCGTAGTAATTCTAGCCAAGAGCGGACTATCAATTTCTTGTCCATCATTGAATCTTTCGCGGAAATCTTAGTGCAAACGATGACAGGAATGTTCATTTTAGTATTATACAATTGTGTTCGAACCTCTAGTGCAGTTTTTCAATTCTCTGAAAGCTTTCCAGTGACGTAATATACTCTTGCATTAAGTGAAAGTTCTTTAGTGAATATGATCACTCATTTGTCAGTTGTGATATCGCCAACAACAGAAAGCAGTATATCACAATTATCAAAAAGAACCGCAGAATTATTTATTGCAGCATAATATTCCATCCGTCAGATATTTTTACTCCGATCCAAGCAACTCGATCAAGTTCTTTACAGCCAGAAATTGTATCAGTATTTCTAAATCAAACGATACAAGGTGTCCAGGCGATTTTTTCCTATATTGTCACCCAGTCAGACACAACACCCGAAGTTTCTGCTTTAGTGTCTGTACCATAATTGAGCGTACTTCCATCATTTACAAATACTCAAGAAGACATAAAAAAATGATGTTGAATAATTTAATAACAGTGGTGATAACAAAAGTGTCGATCATAATAAGCATTAATCTTTTAAAAAGGATGTTTGATACTTTAACTTAATTCAATCATTACTCATTTTTCAATTAATAGTAAATAAGTTAGTATTTAGCTGAATAATTTTATAGTTGTTAATATTTAATTATATTTTTGGTATCATATGGACTAACTCCAGGCCTAATCATTAACGACATTATCTTATTTGCTTAATGTTATAAGTCGTTTAATCTTTGAGTTTAATCTAGTTTGATATACAAAATGTAGGAGATGTTGTTGATCTTAAAATCTGCGGTCTTCCCCAAGCAATTTTTCTCATCTGTGAAGATTCTCCATTGGTGTCTTTTAACTTAATAGCATCCATGAATTAAAGGCGAAATTCAGATTTGTTGAATATACGTATACACATTTATATTAATCAACCGTTCAAATGAATTTTTATAATTTATATGCACTAATCTTGTATTTTTAGCTTGTTCGCGATGTGTGGCAGTCGGAGACTGTATGCTGTCTTCAGGGAATTGCACAGCAAATTCAACAGGCATTCAACACTACACATGTGTTGACGGTAACAACAACAGCTGTGAAAATAAAACCTGTATACCAACTTATGAACCAGCGTGTCGTGGTACGTACTAGAAGACAAAACACAGGTTAATCACAGTTTAGTCAGGATAACTGAAGACGGATGAAAAATATAATAGTAATAATACTGCTAACAGAATAAATCAATTCAAAAGTACCCATATGTACCAAAACTATTGATGAAATTATTCAATTCATTTATTCCCCATGATTATATTTTTATACAATTATTTGAATGTATATTTTATGATGAAAATGGTAGACCTTAGTTTGTCACGCTCTCCCTATGTATTCCTCATTAATGTCCGTTCGTTTTCAACGGATTAACTGAACCATCCAGTAACTAATCATGAAACTTTATGGAAAAGATCGACAAATATTGAACAATATTTTCTGAAACTTTAAAGCTAAAATATTGTTTCAAGTCTGAGTTATGAATTGTTTTCACTCTGGATAAGTTGGTTTGATATTCTAATATTTTTCAAAATTATTTTAAGCCAGACGTGTGACACAAAGGTAAATGAGTGTGACATGAACTCATCGAACTCTATCCAATGCATCTTTTTCTGAGATCCCAGAATCTTATATAATCCATTCGAAAGTGTTATAATGGGTGTGCCATAATAAACTGGACTAAATATTACTGCATTTGTTTCGTACTTCCTCTTCAAATAAAAAGTTCCTTTACATACCAAAAGATAGAGAATTTCAAGCTCTACAAAACCTACTATTCGAATCTCTGACAGCATTTTTCTCGTTTGAGCACCATTCAAAATATTGAAGAGTGCTGAGTTGTCGAACTGCGACGTACTTTTGTCGCCTCATTTTTTCAGATTTTTAGCACATTGTCTGAGGTTCAATAGTTAATTTTTCTAGGTAGAAAGATAGAAAATTTTGCACTCTATCGATCTCACTCATTTACAATCTTATACAATGTTTCCACTACGACAGCTGATCTCATAATTAGTTCTCAACCGGCTTTTCAATTTTTTCAAATTAAATTAATTTTTTTAATTAATGGTTTCAATTGAGAAACTTCGTTTATATATCAAAAGACGCAGAATTTAATTCTATGTAAGATAATAAGACTAAAATCCTGGATTCAGAACGTTTTACTGCTTTTATAGTCCAAAAACTAAATTCTGTGAAAAATAGGTTCAAAAGTTAGGTTTTTTAGATTTATCAGCTTTTTGCACAGAGAAATTTTCCTAGAAGATTTAACTGCAAAATTTCGAAAAATATGTGAAAAGATGCAGAATTTTCCGGTGAATCTTCTGATGTTTTCAAACATCTTATGGAATCTATTTTTGGACCAAGGCAAATCTTTTTCTATTTTCAATGTGTCGCAGTTCGACAACTTAGCACTCTTCAATATTTTGAATGGTGCTCAAACGAGAAAAATGCTCTCAGAGATTTGAGAGCTTGAAATTCTCTATCTTTTGGTATGTAAAGAAATTTCTAATTTGAAGAGGAAGTACGAAAAAACTGCAGTAATATTTAGTCCAGTTTATTATGGCACACCCATCACTGACCACGTTGAATAGAGCTCGACGAGTTGTTCATGTCACATTCATTTACCTTTGTGTCACATGTCTGGCTTAAAATATTTTCAAAAAATATTAGAATATCAAACCAACTTATCTAACGTTGTTTTCTCAACCGAATTCAATATTTTAATATAAATCTGTCATATTTCTATAATCATCAAGTGGCAACATGTGAAATTTATTATATAGAAAAAACTTACTGCTAAATTGTAGTACGAAAACAATTTAAATACTTCTACAGTTTCGAAGTTAATTGTAGTTGCGTGTCAAAAATAGAAATATAATACCTCTAGAAGCGTGCAGCAGAGAACCTGAAATGTGTTACCTATTCATTGAGAGATATAACCATACAAAACGTTAAGTCATTAACTATCATTATTCATGCATTACAGGGATGGTTTCACTTTAGTACTGTAACGAGTGGGTTTGTCACCAAAAATTTCTTTAAACTGTTATTCAACATGATTGATAATCACTAAATTTTGACTTTTGTTTTTAGTAACGTCATACACTTTAACCGAAGCGCAAAAATCTAAAATGAATCCGCTAATGCGAGTGATACCAGTTCCATTACCCTTTCGTTATCAATTTACAGACGTTAATAATCCGTACAAAGTTCTGTGGGTAATTCAAACAAAGTATTCATATACTGATTTTTCAAATATTCGTTCAATTAGCATTGTCAATATATTAAAAGTTTTTCTCTGATAGGTTACAGACAAAGGGTATTTAACGCTTGGTACACCATTTTATGCAATCGAACCAGTAGAGCGTGTGGAAGGCATTCCAGCATATATTGCGCCCTTTTGGACTCATTTTGTTAACGTAAATGAGACGTATATTTCAGTAAGTTATCACGATGCTTCTCTTGAACTTCATAATGAGTTGTATTGGTTTTTTATTAGGCTACGGTTTACAATGGACTGGTGAATGCTCCTGATGCTGTACGAAATGTTACGAAACGTACTGTCGAGCGGCAATATAAAGAAAATGTTAATGATAGCACTCTCGCGTTTTATCGAGTGATTAAGTTAGAATGGAAAAACTTAATAACTTATGTAGATAATATATCTAACCAGAGTGACATATTAGTACGTTCAAAAATCCGTCCTAATATTACATAAGTTCTATTTTTTATCAAATTTAATTTTTTAATTAGAATCTCGAATTTAGTGCGTATCTTATCAATGGACTGAGCTATAATCATAGTTATTGGGATTCATTTCTTCGATTTGAGTATCAACTATCAGATCTCCAGAATCAGTCCAAAAGTCCAGATTATCAACAAGTTTTATTCGGTGAGTAAAAAGTGGCGATTTTTCTATCATTTTCACAATGACAATTTGAACCATCGAAAAACTAGTTTTATTTATAAGAAAGCATAGCTTTAAGATATGTAATGTGAAAATTAATTTGATTAGATTTCTAGAATTAAAAAAAAATAAATTTTTTATCGCTAAAGGTTTTATTTCTAATTGATTTATCTATTAACAATTTTTAAAACAATCTTGAAAAATGAAAAAAAAAACATTCTTATAATATCGGTGTAATGTACTACTGATAGTAAAATCTTTATTGAAATTGTAAATAACTTATAAATGTCACTCTTTTTAGGATATCGAGATGGAAGTCCAAATGGAAGTTATCTACAAACAAGCGTGTCATTCAGTCAAAACATTACAGAATTTTTAAGTGAAGCAAACGGACTATTAGTATAGGATTTTAGATTTATAGCATTTTTTTTAAATTTAAGATCGTACCAAACAAGATGACACACTAACTTATTTTCTAAGCTCAAAAACTCTCAGTTCCTGTGAAATATGGTATTGGAAGGAGCGCACGGCTATAGAATCAGGCGGAATCCACTTGAATCAGTAAGAGTTGATAGAATGTATTCATTATTTATCACACTTTTGATATATTTCATTTGATTTTGAGGGCAATTAACCGTAATCCTTGTCCGTGTACATACGATCAAGCATTAAGTGACTTTAGATTTTACAAAATGAACAGTGAAAATGAGATTGAACGGAAAAATAATGTCGCTTGTTTTGTACCACTGAGTGCTTTAATTGAAGACAAAAATTTAGCAAACGGCATATATCAACAGGTATTTGACTGAATGTTTTTTTAGACTGAAAGATACCTCAGCAAGCAACTGAACACTGTACTAATCTTCAACTTTTGACTATTTCAGACATGTTGTTATGATACAGATCAGAAATTTATCTTGACATCAGGTGAATTTGCTGGATCTGTGCTTCCAGATGATGTTTTGAAAGCGTTAAGAAAAGATGTTGGTAAACCGCAGCGTATATACGACCGGTATGTTAGTCGCTCTTGTTCTTTTCAAAGCAAGTTTTTATATATAATATTCCAAGCGTTTTACAATAACAGATCTATTAATCTTATTATTTAGGGATCGCTGCTGTATACCCAAAAATTCTACAATTAGTTGGGATGAATGGTGTAATCTATACTACGAACTGCGACCACCAAGTACGTGTGAATGGTACACACCACCAAAACAAGGTAAAATAGTTTTCACAATATTCAACATCAGACTAACTAAAATAAAGATATCATCTGATTTTCAGCATGGTTTGGCGGCGATCCACATATGCAAACACTCAATCATTCAAGATACAGTTGCAATCTAGAAGGAAATTTTATATACGCACAGATTTTAAATACAACAGATTCGGAAAAAGTATTTTCAATTTTTGCTGTAACTTCATCCACCAATCCAAATATCAAAGTACAACCATTTCAAAAGCAATCAATTACATATTATTCTAATTTTTTGATGGAATTGGGATCACAAACTGAAGTAGCTATCAATGTCAGCATTACAAATGACTTCTTATTCGGTAATTTTTTTATACTTTTTTCCAGCCAGATAATTCTGCTAGTTACGATGTGCAAAATACTTTCTCTAACGTGGAGAGTGAGAGAGGGTTTCACAATGCTTAGCACAATTCATTTAATAAATTAAGACGTTGAATAGCTTAAGATAAATTTTCATTCAAAACATGCAGAGAATACAGAGCAGAAAAAAAAGCGTGATTTAGTTACATTTTGAGAGCAAAGATGATTAATTTATTCTTGTTTTATTTTCTATTGTTAGATATCCAGTATATCATTAATAGAAGTTCTAAATTTGAAATTCCTGATTTGACTACAAATTTTGCAACTTATTTTTATTATCCTAATGGCAGTACAAATTCGAGCACACCATTTTCAATTGCGAGAGAAGATGTTACAATAAGTACTACTGAATGGACGCTCGATCCCAATGTCTTCGATGGCAAGGGACGCAATATATCAGCTAAAATTCCAAAATTAACAATATCAACTTGGTTAGGTAAGTTAATATTGATAAAACATTCACCAAATATTTATTGATAAAAGAAGCATCAAAAGAAAGCAATTTGCATTTAGGAATTGCCATGCAATGTTATCTGATAACCCACAATATGGCTTGTACATTGCTTATACCGAAAAAATATGAAAACTCTGTAAAAGGTCTTGTTACTGATGGCGATTATCCAAATATAGACGAAGATTATAATGCTGCTTGTTCCAGTCGTACGTATTAAAATTTATTTTTTAATATCATAACGAAATCTGTCGTGGTATTTCTACAACAAGTCATTTCGTTCATCAAGGCTATTTTAGCTTTAACATAGAAGTCTACTTATATTACGTCCTGAGTTCCAAAAGAATATTCTATTATTATTGATCTAAAATGTAATATTCATTTATTCTCTTACAAAAGATTCTTCTTTCTCATTTACCTTTTTGTTTCACAATCGGCTACACTATGTAGGATGCATGCTAGTTTTGATGGTTTCCGATTCAGATTATCCTTCTAGTGAGAAGGGTATCGATACAGTATATCATGCGATTTAAAACTAATGCCTGTCATGGCCTACTGATAAAAAACAAGTACGGCATTTAACGTCAGCATTGATTTTTATGAATGCGATACTGTTTTGAGAAATCAGAAAATGGCATCGATTGAGGCATTGATATTCATTATTAATGCCAGAAGTCCTTATTCGAATAAGAGATCGAAACTTGTTTTTGTAGAGTCAGTATCGTCCACACCTTCTGCGACAACAGCACTAAATCGAAAAGCTCTTATGAACTGGTTCAATACAGGAGCAACCAGCAAGTATCAATCCTACGTTAAATCTGTATGTGGTCCCAATGATTCAGACACGGTTTATAATTTCTGTATACAAGATCAGATCGTATCACAATCATCGTTAATATCAAGTATCACGCTTCACAGTGCAAGAGCCTATAAAACGGCGAATGATGAACTTGGTAAGTGTAGATCTACTTGACTTGTTGCATTCTGAATTTAAAAAACTTTCAAAATATTTGCTGGTTATCAGTGAAGGATAGAATCACATTTGCAAACAGGAAATGTCTGTTAAAAAGATATGAGCGAGCAAAAACAAATCATTGCTTTCGGCTTAGTTCAGTTAAACAATGAAAACACAAAAAAAAGAATTTTACAATTAAATTGAAAGTTGATGATTACCCAACAACATATCCTATGGTTTTTGATTTTAGACAGGAATCCTCCTATAATTCAATTATATGACAAAGGATTTAATGGAGAGCCTTATACTCTTGAATTAAATATATCATATAGTACTATGAATCAAACCGAGGGTACTAATGCAAACATCAGGCTTCGTATCATCTCTTCTGCAAATAACTATACCGTCAAAATTAGAAGCAACATTGAATCTCCTGCCAATGATTGTACGGGAAGTCCAGATAAAAGAGATTATTACTGTTTCTTTTTATATTCCAATGCAACCAAGCATAATTTAAAGATAACGTATGTTCAAAAAGACGTATGTAAACAAATTTTCTACTTTGTAACTTTATTTACTATTTTTCAGCATTATCGTTAATGAAACAGATAATCAAAGATCTCCAAAATATCAAGTCATAAAACTTGTAGTGAACGCATGCAAAAACGGACACGTTGCTTACAACAGTGATAGAGTATTGTCGCCATATGTCTCTGAATTATTTTGTGTCTGTGACGATTTGTATGATGGTATGTCACTAATAACCGTATATTCCTACGATTAATGTTCTTTCATTATTTTTTGTATTTGTGTCCACCAACTTTAATTTCTTCTTTTCATTCAGATGACTATTGTTCAAGTCAAATTAAATGCGTCGATATGCGCGCGTGTAAACTTCATTTTAAAAATAATATAACATGTAAAGATGTTGAAGCAATAAATAACGAGCCGCCTTTCAAGTGTATGAATGACACTCAAAACTGTTCCAATTCTTCCAGTTGTTGTGAAGATGGTTATGAATTCTACCCGGAACTACAACAATGCGTTTGTAAGAAAACTCTAACTAGATTTATTTCATAGAGATCACTAAAATCCTCTATTGGTTGAGAAAAAGAAGACATTAGCAACTTAAGTACGGAGGAGAACTATAATAATAAATGTATAGAATTCCTTAAACTTGATGAAACGCTAAATAGTGATTATTATTGGACAAATAGCCTTTTAAAAGTCAGAGAGACCAAAAGTATACCGTTGATTTGTTTTAGTTAAAGCACCCTGTAATGAAACGCTATGTGGTTATGGTGTCTGTCAAAATATTGAAGGCTTCGACCTTAAATACATATGTTCCTGTCCTTCAAAATATTATTTCAATAATATAACTTGTATAGGTAAGTTTCTCTGTTGTAAAAATGTTTGTACAATAATTATTAATTATTAGCAAATCAAAATGCAACTTGCTATCATTAAGGCACAATATCTTTAGTTCAATACCTAGATTAAAATAAACAAATGATGTAATCAAGTTTGATACTAAATATTACTTAGTATGTCAAGTTTCATACTGGAATAACTCAGATAATCAGAAGTTTCTTCAATACTATATAAGCATGAAAAATAAAATGTGAAAAAAAACATTTCTAATAGTACGTCAACTCTCCTTTTAATTATATTATTTGACATTCTGAAACATACGGCATAAACTAATTTTTAAAACTAGCTTTAATAGCGCTCCAAATGCAAAAATGTGTGAAATAGTCACAAAAAGCTTTACATTAATTAAGAAAGAGCTCAAAAGCTAAAATAAAATATTAGTAATGACCGACATCTCAGTTCAGATTGCTCACAAAATTAGAAAACGGATCGTGTTCACAAAAGATTTTAACTTACTTCTGGATTTTTTATTGATATTTGTTTTCTTTTTTAATTTTAGAGATGGATGATTGTAACAGCCCATTCGAAAATAATGATAGTTTACCGTGTACTGACTTTGGACGACGAATTAGTGAAGATACTACTGGAACTCATAATGGAACTATTAATGGAACTTGTGTGTGCGTGTGTGGCTCCGATTTTGTTGATAATGGAACCATCTGCGTGGGTAAGCACGTACTACTGAAAAGTTTTTGGATAGTAATTGAAATGTAAAAAGGCTCGTTTTGCTACCGTTCTGTATCTCTGATTAACTGTTTATGCTATATAATTTTCAGTCGTATGCGGCTTTGCTAGTAAATATTTGAGGAAGTTAGATAAAATAAATTACAAAATCCCTTGGAACGTCTATTATATATCTATCATTAGATACTACTTTTTGATAAGATATTGCGAACAATAGCAATCGAAAGAATAATAAATATTCGTTATTCTCGCTTTTAAATTAATACCACTAGTTCTTTATAACACATCAGGAGTATATTTAATCTTTGTAAATTTTAGTAAATGATAATACGACCTGCACTGATGATGTATGTTTCAACAGTCACACTAACAAATCATTTTGTGCAAGAAGATCGCAAGTTTACGATAATGAAACGGATACTTGTTCTAGTAAGATAGTAATTTAAACTAAATAAATCTTCATAAAAATTTCAAGTACGTTTTTGGTTTTTGAAAGGTATAAACTATTGCGAAACTAAGAGTTATTGCATGAACAGTTCAGGTAATCGATTCTGCGACAATACAACAAATGGATACAAATGTAATTGTCCACCAGGCACAATACTCGACAAAAATTTTAATTGTACTGGTAATTTAATATTACTAACATATATTGAATGAGACTAAATAATGAAAAGTATAATTTTGTAAACTTTAGAGTGTGCTCCTAATACTGCAGGACCAAACTGTGCTCTTTTGTGTACATGTCTGTTTGGAACATGTAATCGTACAGCATCTAGTGAAAACGAGTTATGCAATTGTTCAGAAGGTTATACAGGAAATTTTTGTGAAACGGTGATTGACTATTGTAATATAACATGTAAGCGCCAAAGATAATTTTACGTTTCTCTATGAATCACATGTTTGTTTTAACAGCGTATGGTGATGATGTGTGCGATATTAGTAATACTACAGGCAGAATTTGCAAATTAGTACCAAACAACAACCAACGAAAAGAAAACCAAAGTGGCTTCGACTGTGATTGTCGAAATGGATATACAAAATTAGATTCTGGTTTATGTAATGGTAAATCAAGATATCTACTCTAAATCTTTGAAAATCTTTTCACAAATTTCGTGTCTTTTAGATACTAATGAATGTGAGCTCGGCAACGATTGTGCATTGGACACAACCACGTGTGTTAACACTATTGGAAGTTATGAATGTGTATGTCTTGATGGTTATTATAAGTCAGGAGAAGTATCTGACGTAAGTATCTGATAATATCTTCGTTGATTCAACGAAAAGCTCGATTGATCCATGACACAATGGGCATTTTTTGCTAGAGCAGGCGGACTTTAGCTTTATGAGTGAACTAAAGTTTCATGAACCATTTTTTTATAGGTTTTTCATGATCCTCTTTCTAATGGCATGAGAGTTGGGCTTTGAAAAAGTTTTCTAAGGAGTTTTCTAGAGATCCGATCTCTGAAAAACCCTTCAGAAAACTTTCTCAATATTTAAAAACGGTGCCACTGCAAAGAGCATTGTCGAAAACCTATAAGAAACATGTTTCGAGTCGTTCAGGTTACTTTATCTTGAAATTCAAATTTTCAGCACGAAATTGTTTGTGTGAATCTCAAAAACTAAGAAATCTCTAGAATTCAAAATCGAGCTACCGAAACTAGATGAGCTATACACCATTAGATGCAGTTTTTCACGCTGATTCCGAATATGATATTATTTTTGAGTAAAAGTGCTTACTGAACAGAGAAAACCTCGAAATACTGCGAAAACCATACGGGTTTTTGAAAATCCATAGAATATTTCTGGAAGGTTGCCGATATTTGCCGAGATCAGCATATATACAGTAGAGTCTGAGGAACATTTTGATGTGTTTAGATGCCAGTTTTGAGTAGTGCTACTTAGTGCGTTGTAACTATACCGAGGTGGTCTCATGTCAACCAGATGTTATGAGAAGTTTATGTGGTATTTATAAGGAAAACTATTTCGAAATACCTTTCTATTTATATCGATAGATAGCTGAGCGTCTACTGATCCCAAATATGTGCTTTCCAAGAATAAAACATTCATGTGGACAAAGATAATCGTGTTTTAGTGTATACATGTCGCTATTTTGGGCTTTCACCATGCATTTTCGAGTCCTTTTTTCTCCTCGAACGAGTCGACATCGAAACGGACATCCATACACCATTCGATAGAGAATTGAAAGAGCTACATTTTGCACTAGTCATATTTGGAAAAAGAGCGACTTTAGTTTTTCGCCTAATGTCCGCCTGGATGCCCACTGTGCATGATCTTTACATAAAAAGTATTTATCACAAAAGAGATTACAGTTCTCTCTTGATTCATACCACAAGATGGGTATGAAAACTGAAATGTTTCTATTTCCAAAGACACGTTTATTAGTTAGAATATTATGGAGATCTTAATCAAGTTTGTTCTTATGACAACTAGAATAATTAAAAATAGGCATTTTGAAAGTCTATTTTTTATTAAGCGTTTTCAAGGGTTTATCCTTTACTAAAAACGTTTTTTATATCTTAAACTCTTTGGTTTTTATGCCCTAAACAAAAATCGATCACCTTTTTGTCGTTGAAGTTTACAAGTGCAGTCTAAAATAAATCATATCACGTTGTTGTATATTTTCAATCACACTTGTCACTTTCTTTTAGAACATTCGTGCCTGCATTGATATAGATGAATGTGCAAATAAACAAAATAATTGTAGTCTTTATAATAATTCGTTTTGTGTCAACTTAATAGGTTCATTTGAATGTCGTTGTAATGACGGTTATTGTCCAGATAGTGATAAATGTAAGTATTTTCATATAAGATTCATCTTCTTTATTCAACTAAAAGTTGCTCTTAAAACAAATTTAGACGTTCAGTTTCAGAGTTTTCTGATACTAATTTGAACAATAACAACATGTTTTTTGTGTATTCACTTCCGTATTAACACTTTGATGAATTTGTACAGTCGGAAGAGTCCCTTACAAATAAATTTTTTTCCGTTGGAGCTCAAAGTTTCGAATACATCTGTTAGCGTCTCGCCTCATACCGATGTACCTGGATTTGTAAAATTAATATTTCTCTTCACCATAGCGTGTGTAGCAGTTCTAAAGAATGTCGTGAAAGAATGACTGAAACACTTTCCCACAAATCCAAAATGGTATCTATGAATAAACAACTGATTTTTCCGTCAATCCTCCAACCGACTGACGCTACCGAAAGTCGATACTGTACATTTTTTTCGCATATTTTAATAATCATGTTTTGTTTCAAATGTACAAATTAACATGAGCAATTTTTTAAATCTACTTCCGCCTAGGAGAAATCTGCTTATCTGTGAACACCAACAACTGACTTTTCTGATGTTTGATGTTGATATGCCTGCCAAACGGGGATGCGAATGTCAATTTCAAAAAATGCTTGTGTTAACTTGTAGATTGATGTGTCCAGCTTCGTTTAAATCACGCTCCCATCGCTATAGCTATTGTCAGTTCTCTGACAAATGTCCTGTATTAACAACTCTATTTAGTTTTCACTCCGTCTATAACTCTTCCATACGTCAATATTTTTACTTAAATCTTTCCCATTTACTTTTCCCATTAGGATCTATATATCTTAAATTTTCGTTTGAATCAGCTGCATGAAATAGAAAAAAAAGATTTGGAGAGGCTTTAAATTTTGTCGCAAGTTTGTTTTCTTTTTGAAATAATTCATTTTGCTCTGTTTTTCAGGCGAGACGAATGAAATATTGTCTGTGAAACATAATGAAACATGCCAGTTGAAGAATAAATGTTTTGCAAAGAAGATTGATTGTGGAAATGGGTTCTGTGATAACACTCTTGAACAGTGTTACTGTCAATCTCCCTTAATTCTGTGGAATATTACGAACGACCGCTTTACATGCATATGTCCACAAGTGTTTGACTATTATGACATAACTACGAATCAATGTGTGCCTCTACCACTAAGTCAGTTTTATCACACTGTTATCATTGTAACGAAGAATATAAATAGTAACTAACAATGACTTTTTGCTGTTGTTTTAGCCTTCACTCAGTTTATAGTGATCATGGGCTGTGAAGCGATATCGAATGGAACATTAATTCGTAACTTAGTATGTGCCTGTATTTTCCTTCTGTGTTTAGACAATGCTATTTTGTTTTATTCTTAGATTGAAAGTCATCTTAATCCAACATTGTTCAAGTACAATTACACAGCTGTAGGGTGAGTAATAGAATTACGGCAATGTTAGGATAATGGCAGTGTGTGGTTGCATACTTATTGAACGAAGTCTTCATGTTTTGTATTTTTTCTAGTGATGGTATTCAAGTAAACGAACTTCAAATAAACGTTTTAACTGATGGCTTCAATTTCAAACAATTGACCGAACTTTTTATTATAATGGAGAAGTTTTACCGGGAACTGTTGGGTATCTGCAGTTTGGACCCTTATTTTGATAAACCAAATGCTGGAATGTATATAAGTACACCTATATGTGCCAATATGAACTCCAGTAAAAAGATTGAAAATTTGAATGAACTTATTGGGTTGACAATCATATTCTCTCTTTTATAGCAAAAATTGAAGGTGTTACTTCGTGTTATTTAATTGATCAATGTAATCGATGCGGCAACCGAGGTGTATGTGAACCCGACAAAAATGAGACAAAGTGTCAATGTTTTCATGATCCATTAAATCCACCTGTAGGCGATTTTTGCGACATATCAACCCCGCCAGGGACATCAGTCAACTGGCCAGCGATTGTGATTGGGATTCTCGGAGGCATAGCTGCATTGCTATGTATTACGACATGTTGTTTACTAGCACTAGCTTTATGGCGCAGAAGAAGACATCCGGAGTAAGAACTTGATAATTTGTTGTTATTTAATAATTCTAAGCTGAAATTGTACTTTATAGAATTGTAGATTTAAGTATTCGTCGTTTGTGGCATCTACCACGAGCTAAAATACCGGTAGTTGTTACAGCTGAAAATGTAGGAGTGTATATGACCAGTTTGAATGAACGTACGCTGTCATCTGACGATAGTTCTGATTCGAGAACGACTTATCGTACAACATATAATAATGATAATAATATTCAAACAGTAAATAGCGAATTTTTTCGTCAATTAGAAGAAACAATGAGTGGGAATATGCGTGAAACAGTTGCACGTCCCGATACACGTGCTATACTATCAAGTTTACCAACAAATACCACTACAACATCGGCATCAAGAAATTCTGATCCAATCGATGATCTCGATGATATAATTGATGATGATGATATAACAACAATATTTCATGATCCGCTCGATGATCTTTTCGATGATGAATTTTTTGAAGTGTTAAATCCAAATCTAAAACTACCTAGGCCACAGGTTGATATACAGCCAACGGGCTTATTTTCGGTAAGTCAACAATGTAACCTATTATTAAAACTAAATGTTTTTTAATTTTTAATTTTAGTTCTTGAAGAGAAGCTCATAGTTCGTTTATTTTTGTTACATTATTTATTTATTATATGTTCGTTTGTTACCACTTTAGTCTATTTGGTCGACTGTAAGTCAATTCTATACATGATTGTTGCAATATTTGTATTTCGTACACTTATTGACTGCTGGTCAGTTGAGAAAAAAATGGTGATTTTTTTTGTTGATATTTTCATACGACCAGCGAAAAAAATTAATGATATCCCATCCCAGTGATTATATTTATAATTGTTTTTAATTTGTGTAAGATGTCAATCAGTAAATAAATCGGCACAATGTAAATAACACTTCTATTTTTTTATTTTCGTATAATTGAACTTGAATAAAAATACTGCGTGGGTTAATAATAATAAAAAAATATACATCACCATCTCAAAAATAAGGGAAGTGGAATCAATCTTTACTCAAAATGTCCAAGTGCCTGTATATCTCAGAACGATTTCGACTCTCCACTGTAAACTTTCAAAAAATACGTTGACTTTTGTAAAACTAAAAGTATTTCTTTAAAAATATTAAGCTTTATAAGTTCATTTATTCAATTGATAATAGACCTCATTCCATCTTAGTTCATTTTTAAAATTGTGTAAATTTGTGTTATTATCAATGAATACACATTCAATACCAATCATTTCAGCAAAATCTTGCAAATATTCTGAAGTAACATTTTGACTGTAACATGTATGATGAGCACCACCAGCCAATAACCATGCCGAACAGGCTGTTATCATATCTGGGCATGGTTTCCAGAGGACGCGTGCTACTGGCAATTTTGGTAAGTCTTTTAAAGGTTTAACAGCATTTACTTCATTAACTAACAAACGAAATCGATTACCCATATCAATCAATGACGCGTTAAGGGCTGAACCTTCTGCTGAGTTGAATACCAAACGAACTGGATCAGCCTTACCTCCAATACCTAAAGGATGTATTTCACACGATGGTTTGTTAACACTAATACTTTCACATATTTCTAACATATGTGCTCCCAAAACTATCTCATTATGTGGTTCTAAATGATATGTATAATCTTCCATAAACGAACTTCCACCTTTCAATCCACTGCCCATCACTTTCATCGCTCGTACGATCGTAGCAGTTTTCCAGTCTCCCTCAGCCCCGAACCCATATCCTTTAGCCATTAATCGTTGTACAGCAATACCCGGCAATTGTACGAGACCATGTAAATCCTGTACAATAAAAATATATATGAATAATAATTTGACTGAAATGTTCAAAGAGAATAATCCTACCTCAAACGTATCAGTGAAACCTTTGTAGTTTCCTTTTTCTAAGAATGTTTTTAATCCCAGTTCAATTTTTGCTGCTTCTCTTAATGATTTATGTTTATCACCACCATTTTTTCTCAAACACTCGACAACATTGTATTGTTTCTCATATTCGTCGCAAAGTTGTTCAATATCAGAATCGTTTACCGCATTAATAACGTCAACTAAATCTCCAATACCATGTGTGTTTACACTATAGCCAAATTTTATTTCGGCTTCAACTTTATCACCCTCGGTTACTGCTACTTGTCGCATATTATCACCAAACCTAACAAATTTTGCTCCCTGCCAATCATACCATGCACACGCAGCTCGAGACCAAACATTAATACGATCTAGTACTTGACGATCTTGCCAATAACCGACCACGATTTTACGATTTAAACGCATTCGTGTCATTATATACCCAAATTCTCTGTCACCATGTGCACTTTGATTCAAATTCATAAAATTCATATCAATCTCACTCCAAGGTATATCGCGATTAAATTGAGTATGTAAATGTAATAATGGCTTCTGCAGTGCTTTCAGTCCACATATCCACATTTTTGACGGAGAAAACGTATGCATCCATGCAATGACACCGATACATTTTTTTGCAACATTCACTTGTTGACATAGGTCATATATCTCATCCGGTGTTTTTAGAATTGGTTTAAATACAATTTGAACAGGTATTTGTTCAACATTGTTCAATCCTTCAGCAATTTGTTTTGCATCTTCAGCAACATGTTTCAGCGTTTCTTCACCATATAGAAACTGACTACCTGTCAAAAACCAGACTTCAAATGTTTTCAAATCAATCATTTTTTCAATGTATTAAGATGAAATGTTTTATTGTTTCAATTGTAGAGTGCAGACTGATTCTTTTAGATAAGAAGAGGACATCATTTTTTTCTTTTTTATTGTTTTCAAACGAGTTGAGTTCTATTTTTTCATAATAGATATCTGTAGAAGAATGAAAGAAAGGCTACGATGACCACATGTGCTATTTTCAATCCAAATGTTTTTCATGTTAGAAAGTACAAAATTACAGAGAGACACCGATCAGAAGCATTGATTGTATCGTAAAAAAAACATTCTACACTTGACTATTCAGCTGAAATAGTTTCAATCATTGTTTGATGTGTGTCTTCTTAATTGCTGACACTTTTACAGCTTGTTTAAACCGACACACCAGAAAATCAACAATGTGAATTTCAGCTATTTCTTGTGTCAATAATCAGAAAAAATAATCTAGCGAGAATAGCTAAGTTCCAAACACGATTTTCACTATCTATCTTTTAGAAAATAAAAGCCACTTCGGCTGAAACGTTCACAACGTTAATGCCTTTTAAAAATTGACCTTGATCATTTTTTTTAATGACTACATCTACAACTTTAATTATTAACTAATTCAAAACATTAGTTCATGAGACTATTGAACAAACATATCTGTCACTGCCATATGAATCTCGTTAAACGCCAGTCTCAAAGCTGTTATCGTACAACGAACTAATCTTTCGATTGAAAACGTGACGTAACATAAAACTTAATCTATCATGGTACTACATCATATATGATGCAAGCAGAAAAAGACAGTCTTTTTCTGCTTGTAAACTCGTTTTAGAACATAACAATTGAGCCTTTAATAACAACCGTCTACAATACAATTTCGTTCAACAGACTGACATAATAATGAAAAATCTGGTATTTGATTACAGAGTTTTATCAAATTTGTAAGTTTAAAAGCTTTTGCTGATAATTTTTTTAATATATAAACCAATTAAAGACAAATATTACTTTTGTTTCATTAATTAGGTTCTACAAAACAAAAGGATTCTAACGGTTAACCGTTAGCACAGTCCATGGAGCAGGCGGACGTATGATTTTTTTAGTTAAAAAACATTTATTTTCGCATAATATTGTTTAACTATATCTCAAATATTAATATAATTAAAAAAAATCAAATTCGAGAGATCGCTGAGGGAGACACACTTACCCTAAAATTTTGTCAAAAATGTTTTTATTTGTAAAATTAACAAATTATACGTTATTCGTGCACTGATTCCAAATATTCATTAGTTTTCAATAAAAGTATTTTTGAGTCGAGAAAAATAGATTTTTTTCTAAAAACTCATATCAAAGTCAAATAGAAAAACCGCATTCATAATGAATTCAGGATATTACCACGAATATTTTAGTATAATTTGAATCAGTTCCGACCTGCGCTAACTTGCGCGATCTCAGTACACAGTGGGCATCTAGGCGGACATTTAGCAAAAGATTGAAAGTGAACTTTTTATTGATTTCGATAGTGTCTAATAAACACCGTCAAACGCGCTATCAAATGGTGTAAAACTTTTTATTTTCCTTGTCAGAAAAATTTGATCAACAAAATTATCATAAGAATTAGCATCCTACCCGTAAAAACTCAATTTTGTATTGAACGGTCAATCCGGTCTCACAAGCGATATCTCAATGGAGATAGATATCTAGTTCAGGATATATCCTATATACCCCTGAACGGGATATCGGAGAAAATTTATATCCTGATCGGGATATTTTTGCAAAACATTTTGGAAAAAATCATTATCTCAAAAATCGTGACGTTATTGTAGAAAAGTGACTATAGCATAAGAAAGCGGATGAAAAACTGAGTCGAAATTCATGTTGCTCTAGCCCTGATTCAAAAGTCTACCGTTCACTATTTTTAATTTCCAGTTGGGATATACAATATAGCCTGATCGGGATATGTGCATAAATAGTTCGATGCTTGTTTGACTAGCTTATACTAGTTTACATACTCATGTAAATGTAATATTATTAGTTTTCTTCAAAGATAAGCTCACATTCACACACTCAAAAACAAAAACCACCATGTCTTGATATGCTTTCAGTATCCATATCCCATTCGGGATATAAAAATATATCCTGATCAGGCTATATCCCGAAGAGGATATATATTATAGCCTGAACGGGATATATATCCTGATCAAGATATTATAGCCCGATCAGAATATATTTTTATATCCTAAATGGGACATATATCCTCATCGGGACGTATATCTCGTTCGGGCTAAGAGACCGGACTGTTGTGAGTTGTAACAAAGTAAAGTAGTGATTCGTAATCCGAACTACTTTTCCTTCAAAATGGTGAAAAGACTTTGGATTGAACGTATACAAATACAATTCGCCTTAATGAAATAAAATGTTTTCTAAAGGAAATCTATACATACTTATCTCGACTTGATCTAACCGTGTCAATTATCGCGTTTAACGAAAAGAACGAAAAGGTTACTTCGATAAAATTCTCTTGGTCTTAGTCATAATTTTGTATTCATTTTACTGTGACGGAAAACGGAATTTGAATTGGGACAATTTAAGATTTAAATATTAGGGTTTTTAGTCCACTTCCAAATTACGTTGACGTATAATGATTCAACTAAAGTCAAAAGCAGACAAGTGTAGCCGTTTTGAAATTGTGTAGAGTTGAACAGAATAACAAATTGAGTCTTGGTCCAATATTGGATCCGACGCTTTCTCTTTAATGCTGAAACAATTTTATTTTAAGCAAGAAATGACATGGAAGCGAGATACAGCTTCAAATTAAAGCAGTATGTGCTTACTCTTGCATGTGATAGTCTAGCCAAGCACAAAATGTGTCGGTCCATCCACAGTGGATATAAAAAGCACCCGTACAATGGAAAAAGAGTTTTTCTGTTTCATATATCTCTGTAATGGAAAGTCATAGGAACATCGAGTTTTCACCATTAGATAGATCTATGTGTTATCTTTGTATGAAGTTAATATGTCACAAATTAAAATCCACTAGTTTCACGGCTTTCTATTAAGATTTTTAAAACTAATTGTTTTTTTTTAAAC